CATGGGTTCAGGAGTGGGGAGAGTTGAATAGGTGAAGTCCAGAGGATATTTTAATTCAGTATAGCATAATAGTAAGTACATGACACTATGCATATGTGAAAACACACTGAACTTTACAGCACAGAGTGACCTTTAATGTATGCAGGTTTTAAACTTTTTTGACTTTGTCGGGTCTTTGCTGCACTACGTGGGCCCTCATTGCCGCGCACAGGCTTTCTGTAGTTGCAACACATGGGCTTTTGTTGTGGGACATGCGCTCTAGAGGCTCAATAGTTGTGGCATAGAAGCTCTCTAGTTGCCCATGTGGGATCTTAGTTCCCTGATCAGGGATCAAACGTATGTCCCCAGCTTTGGAAGGTGGATTCTAAACCACTGTACCACCAGCAAAGAACCCAGAATTTATTTATTTTTGACTATACAGTGCAGCTTGCAAGATCTTAGTTCCCCAACCAGGGATTGAATTCATGTCTTCAGCAGTGAAAGTGAAATCCTAAAAACCACTGGACATCCAGGGTACCCCTGTATGGAGGTTTTTAAAAATCATTTAGGAGGTGGTTGGTGGGGTGGCACCTAGGATAGAATGTAGAACGCTTGTAGAAGGCAAGCACAGAATTTAACTGTATTACAAACATATGAAACAGTTCTCAAGGAAGAGGGTGGGGGCAAAGGTGTTGGCCTAAATAACTTTGAAAATAGAGTCTGTAAAATTAAAGGCAAAAGAAACTATGCTTAGCACTGTACTCTAGTTGACCTAGTTTTCTTCCCATGTGGGTATGGGCTAACAATTGATACTACCATACATGTATACTAGAATTGAACAACTAAGCAGAAAGTTGGCAGATGATAGGAGCAAGGTTTCTACCAAAGTACCACCACACTGATTCATTCATGCAAAAGTACTAGAACTAACTTTTACACATGTGCCTTGACAAAGTTTATAATATGCTTTTGTGTTTCACAAAATAACACTGATATTTTGATAGAATAAGAAAAATCTATTTGGTTTTCATCCCTGGTTCTTGGCAGAGCTCCCTAAGCCCTTGGAACTTTCCAATAGGAGTTAGTGGAGTATCTTTTTAAATTTATAACAAGCCCTTTTCAATCACTCCTGAGTTTATGTTAATGACGGGGTTGCTTACCAGAGGGAACCAACAATATGGTAAGAAGGTTGGACCTTTCCATCTCACCCCTAGACCTCTGGGAAAGGGCGAGGGGCTGACACTGAGTTCAGTCATCAATGGCCAATGATTATGTCCTGTTCCATTGCGCTGTTCCTGGGTTGTATCACTTGTAATAAGCCACTAATCTAGTACGTGTTCCTGAATTCTATGAGCCATTCTAGCAAATTATTGAACTGAGGAGAGGGTTGTGGGTACCCTTGATTTATAACCACTTGGTCAGTATAAATGACAACCTGGAACTGTGATTAGTGTCTGAAGACCAGGTAGTCTTGTGAGACCTGAGCCCTTAACCTGCGGAGTCTAACTTCAGGTAATGTCAAAGTGTTTCGAGTATAAGAAACAGGCTTTTCTTTTAAGCATTATACTGATTCATTCCTGCAACTAGTACTATTAGAATTAACTTTTACATATGTAATATTAATATACATTTTTCATTTTATAAAATACTTGACTCCTCAAAAATTTCAAGTCATTCAATCAAAAAGAAATTCCGAGAACTGTTACAGCCAAGAAGAACCTATGCAGATATGACTGAAGTAATATGGTGTCCTGGAACAGAAAAATGTTAGAAAATAAGAAAATCTGACTCATTGGAAAAGACCCTGACGCTGGGAGGGATTGGAGGCAGGAGGAGGGACGACAGAGGATGAGATGGCTGGATGGCATCACCGACTCAACGAACATGAGTTTGAGTGAACTCCGGGAGTTGGTGATGGACAGCGAGGCCTGGCGTGCTGCAATTCATGGGGTCACAAAGAGTCGGACACAACTGAGTGACTGAACTGAACTGAATGAATAAAAAGTATGGGAAAAGGATTTGAATAGACATTTCTCCCAAAACACAAATGGTCAGTAAGCACACAAAAAGATGTTTAAAATATAACATCATAATACTCATTAGGCAAATATAAATCACACCCACTAGGACAGCTATACTAAAATACAGCAAATGTTGGTCATTACATGGAAAAACTGAAGTCTTTAAATATTGTTGTATTGTAAAATGGTGAATACTTTTTGGAAGTTTCACAGATCTTCAAAAGATTAAACCACGTGAACCACTAATTCCACTCCTAGGTTTATCCAAAAGAACTTAAAAACATGCCCCCACAAAAATCTGTATGTTTATGTTCATAGCAGCGTTATTCCAAATGGAAAAAATTCACATGTTCACCAACTGATGGGTGGGTAAACAAACATGGTATATTACACAATGGAGTATTATTTTGTTATAAAAATGAAATATGGATACATGCTATGATGGGGATCAACTGGTAACATACTAAATGAACATGTCAAAATGGCCACAATACTATTTATTCCATTTTGTAGACAATGTCTGAAATAGGCAAATACTTAGAAACTAGAGATTGCACCAAAGGGACAGGGAATAGAATGAGGAGCAAATACTAACAGACTTTCTTTCCTGGGGTAATGAAAATGTTCTGGAATCAGTGGTGATGATTGCAAATCTGTGAATACACTAAACACTACAGAATTGCACACCTTTTATTTGGCCATGTGGCTTGTGGGATCTTAGTTTCCAGCCCACAGATTGAAGCCAGGACCCCAACACTGGAAGTATGGAGTCCTAACCACTGAACCACCAGGGAATCCCCTGCACTTTTCTTTAAAAAGCAGATTTAATGGTATATTTCAATAAAGCTGTTATAAAAGGTTCTTTGTACTGATGATTCATGCTTATTCTTTAGACAGATGCTCCACAACAGAGCCAGTAGATTCAGTAAAATAACCTTAAGGTTTTATTCCTTCTACACGGTTCACTTCTCTCATGGCTCAGGTGGTAAAGAATCCTCCTGTGATGCGGGAAACCCTGGTTCGATTGCTAGGTCAGGAAGATCCCCTGGAGAAAGGATAGGCTACAAACTTCAGTATTCTTGGGCTTCCCTGGTGGTTCAGCTGGTGAAGAATCTACCAGCAATATGGAAGACCTGGGTTCGGTCCCTGGGTTGGGATGATGCCCTGGTGAAGGGAACTACCCATTCCAGTATTCTGGCCTGGAGAATTCCATGGACTGTATAGTCCATGGGGTCACAAAGAGTCAGACATGACTGAGCTACTTTGACATAGTTCACTATTACAATCCAAAAATCTGGATAGAAGAACTCAAAGAAAGACTACACTGTACAATTGTTTTACAAACCTTTATTGGAAAGGCTACAAACTTTGTATTGCCACTGCATTTCTTTTGCTTAAAGTGTTGTGGGGGAAGTAACCTTGGATACAAAACTACTATGCTGTTGCATCTTGCCCAGGCTGGTTGTAGAAGTTTTTGTACAATGGAGGTAGAGTGGATAGGGCAATAATTTAAACCTCACAGGGCTTGATTAATGTCAGGACACCTTTTTCTTCTTTTTCATTCAGGTTCTAGAAGACCTAGAAATAGACTACAAGTACTACAATTAGGCTCAGGGATGGCATAATACATTTAAAATTTTTAGTTTTCAGTTTTCTCCCATCTGTCTCTTACAAATGTATCTACAACTGATGAATCTTTTCCCTAAAATAAGTGTGTTCTAAAAATATCTACTCTGGGAATGAAAAGCACAGAAGATGAATGAGCAATACAACACCCTTTTCATAGTTTTACCCGATTTTTCTCACACCAGCCTAAGAGTCTTACCTTTCTGTAAAACAATAGTAATCAATGCTTCCCCCCATCTCAAATATTCAACTTAATGGAGACAAGAAAATCTTTAACTTAACATTTAATGAAAACAGAGCATTTTAACAGGTTCTATGCAGACATGGCTCTAATATTGAGTTGCTGTTACCTTATTTTTTAAACAGAGTGGGGCGGGGAAATACAGATGCCAGGTTAACTTGGCCCCAATACTCAGGATCAGGAGTTATGTGACTTAGATGTCCTTGACTTTACAAAGCATTAATTGAGGCCAACAAAGCCCGTTTCTACCAACACATCAAACTTTCTCTTGTCTTTCGAAACTATAAAATGGGCATGGGCCTGAGGCATAAGCTTCAGGCCAATGGGTTTTTAAACACTGTTTAAGAATCAGAACTAGGATACATTCTCCAGTTTAAGGATAGATTTTACAGTTCAAATTATGTCCTTGTTTGAGGAAAGATTTTACAGTTCAAAATATGTTCTTCTTTCTAAAAATGTGAGACAAAGAGTAATTTACACCAACTGCTTTTTATTATTCAGTTCCAGAAACCTTTCACAAGATGGTAAAAAAAAAAGGGGGTGGGGGGAGAAAAAAAGAAAGAAAAAAAGAAACACCCCCCGCCCCCGCCCAAAACTTTACAACCACAGCTCAGCTAATGATATTTTTTCCATTGTTCCCAGTCAGTTCCAAACCCATTGTGTGCAAAGCCCATTTTCCCATGCATCTAAATGATAGATACAGGCTATGAAATTCTTTATTCTAGTTGTAGCAGCTTATGCAGGTGCAGCCAAACACAAAGCTTCAGGACAAATTGTACACAAACTTTACAATGTGGGATTTGAATTTAAAATATGAAACATAAAATCTACACAAACTGATAAAAATCAAGCACAGGTATCAGGACTGAAACTTATAACCCATGTGTGAAAGGGAGTCTTGTTTCCTTTCAAGTGCTTTATTCTGCTATAGAACAGTCGAAATGAAGATGTAAAGCTTTGTGGTTAGTTTAAATTATACACTCTGTAGATACTATACCAATTTTAAAAGTTACACATAGACCAACAGATGTCCATCAGTTCATCTGGGTTGACCAGACGCTCCAGCTGGATTGCAGAAAACAAACCAGGCCAGTGTGGAAAGAAAATCCACCTGTGCAATTTGTTTGCAGAGTTTACTGATGGGCACATTGCACTCCTGGTCCGTGATGGCTACTGCTTTCTTCATCAGAGCTATCATTGTAGGCTTCACGCCTCTGACCACCTCCTGAGCCCCGCGTGCTATCAAATTCTTGAAGCTCTACCTCCTCTGTGTCTCCAATAATATTTGGAACTTCTGGTCTAGATGGCAGAAGATCTTCTAATTCCTTCATTAAAATGAACAAAAATAAGATTAGCTGGAAGATTATCATCTATCAATTTCCCTTTTGATACAATCCAAGGTATATGTTTGACAGTTAAAATCTTTGCACATTAAGCCAGAGATCACAAATGGATGACTCACAGACCAAATCTAGACATCTTCTGTGCAACCCATCTATTGATTAGAAAGCAATGAACAGATTTAATTGCTAACATTTAAACACTGGAAAACTTCACATTAGATATGTCTTCCTGCATGAACGACCAGCAGATGCTAAGCTGGGGTAAGAGTCCCAATCCTCCTACCACCACCTCGATAGTCTGGACTTGGCCCCATAAACTTTTACATCAGCTATTTCCACTTTAAAAAACAATGAGGCCAGACAATCAATCACTCAAATTAATAAACTATGTGATCTAATCTTAGCACTCGAAACAAATGGAAAGTGACAAAGAAACAACTATTATTAAACTTTAAGTCATCTGTTGCCTAATACTTACAGAAAGTTTATCTGGGTTGATCCAGTTGTTTTCAGGAAACTGCACATCAAACTTTATGTAAAGATCACCTTTTTCAAAAGGATTACGATATTGTGGCATTCCTTCACCTCGAACAACACGAACACATCCTATTATTTGAGTAAATAAAGGGGAAAATATTAAGAATTTTACCCAAGAAAGTGCTCAATAGTAAATATTTTTTGAGAGTCACCCACTGTATAAGATTACATAGAATCTTAGATCAGACAAAAATCAAGATTTACCTGGTTCAATTACTTTGCCAGGGGGGTATTTCACCACAATCTGACGTCCATCAAGGTGCTTAAATGTGAACTGAAATCCACAAAGAGCTTCAACAAGTCCTATCTTATACGTCATGTGCAAATCATTCCCGTCTCTCTGGAACACCTACAGAGGAAGCACACAAGAAACAGCGCAACTATGGAGGCATGCTCTGCTGTGCTGTGTTACCTGAATCAACTTCAAAACCTTAATTCTACCACCTACTGCAAAAGTCTAATTGCCACAATCCCCAAGTTCCCTGAATTTATCAATATATATAAGGAAATCTAGCTATTCTCAAGTAATATGCTAGAAACTTCGATCACGAAAGAACTGAAATTGGAAATACCATTGCTCATAAGGCACAGCTGAAGCTTCAAAAACAGAACCAAGTCTCTTTTACAATTATGGCCCATTTCTGAACCATGAGGGGAAGGGTGTACAAGGCCCAGTGGGATTCTGTAGGACAGGTTCACCTGGAATTTCCTCCAGACATGATTCTAAGAGGGGAAGGGGAAGGCCCAAGCTCAACTAAAAAAGCTCAACCAGTAAAAGGGCTCAAACCCCATACTTCATTTAAGTATGAACAAGTGTTACCTAACCTAAGATACAAAACTTGCTTAGATGAATGTAAACCAAATGCTAAATAAAGTTGGCTTATTAATGCACTATAAGCCTATGGACTATGTAATGCAAAGGTTATTCAACAAGCATTTTAAAAAATGTTTCTGAGCATTCAACATGCAGGAAAAAATACATCCAATTTCACACATGCCCATCTTATAACTTCTGCTTTTTGGAATTTTCAAATATCTATAGCACCAGGAAGCTGGTTAGGAATGTACATTCTTGGGCACCATCCCATACCCACTGCATCAAGAACTATGAAGGTGAGGCCCAGCAATCTGTCATTTTAATAAGCCCTCCAGGGGATTCTAATGTATACTAAAGCTTAAGAACCACTGAATTTATATTACCTACATGAGTTTACTGAGGTGTTTCTTATAATCAGAGGAAAAATTAATTTAAGTAAAGTTTCTTTAATGCAGGACTTTTTAATGCTTTTGCAAATTTGTAAAATGGAAGTGTTTCTGAACATCTCATTATATTATTGTTCCAAGAACCATCCTTAACCAAGTATCATTTAGTTAAAGCAATGTTAGAAGGAGCAAGAAGACATACTATGTTCTTGGATAGAGGAACTCAAACTAATTAAAAAAAAAAGGTATTAGGGTTGTTTCTTATTGGGGAGGGGGCCAACAGTAAGGGTAGTTAGATCAGACAATTAGATGCTAAAATTCAAACAGAGAATATACAGGCAAGCATGGCCAGGAAATTTTTGAAAAACAAGACTAATGAGATTACCAAGAACCACAAAATACTTAAAAGCTGAAATAATTTCTGATAAAGAGGACAGACTAGTATCACCCACTGTTACCCACCATTGTGGTTGAGGTACAAATGCATTATGACAGCAAAATCACCGAAACACACACATACCTATACTGAAAGATGATACACATGCATACATATTACTCTCAAAACTGCACTATTTTTTTAATCAGAAGATTTACATTCTGTTTCAAGCTACAGAACCCACCCTGATCTCAAGGCCTCACAATTCCTACAAGCGTTGAGAGTTTTTAAACAAAAAGCCCCAAGCAAAATACAAGCTTGATTATGAACTAGTTCAAACTAGTCAATTTTTCTTAAGAGGGTTAAGAATATTCTCAGTGGTATAAATTAAACAAGATGCCTAAATCTCATTTTGGGCTCCAATTTACTTTACCAGTCAATAAAACCAAGAAGGAAAAATCTTTGACCTCTTACTAGATGAACTTCCATTCTAGCCTTTATCATCTTCTATTTTCTACTTTAGACAACCAGTAGCATCTGCTGTTTGTTAGAAATTCCATGCAATTCCACTGTAGCCAATAATTTTTAGAGGTTGATTTACTTCCAAATGCCTCCTCACAGTCCCCAGAAAGAAGAGCAGGTTATTCTTTATCTCATTTGATTCTACACTATCTTTCTGAAGGATGAGTTTTATTTTAAGTATGCAAAGCCAAGCCCAGGGAGATCAAAACTAGTACATGGGAGTCATAACTTAAGTCTCTTGTCTCCAAGAACAGTGATTTCTATTCTGTAAAACCCAATATACTTACAGAATATTTCAACCCATAAGATAGAATTCTAGAAATTATTCCTTAAAAAAAAAAAAAAAAAAGGAAATCTAGGAACCCTTGTCATTGGCAGGTTTGGCAATATTCACAAAAGGACAAGATATATTGCAATTTATAGATTTTCACTTTCACTTTCATAGATTTGCTGAGAAATAAATTTGACTAGCATCCCTTGAGAAAGGCTAGTGTAGTAGTAAGCCAGTCTGGCGAAGGAATGAATCTAATCAAATTCCCAGAATCTGCATCTCAACATGGCTTTATTCTCTATTGGATTCTTAGTAATTTTTAAAATTTATTTGTAGAAATCACCATCTTATGGGAGAAAATTTTATTGTGAACTAAAAAAGGTGGCTGACTTGTGATCTAGACTTCCAAAGAAACTCAAAATGGCAATGTGATCAAGTACAAAGCCAGGATTCTGTCAAATGTTTCTATATTCAAGAACTAGATGGGCACTAAAGATCCACGCATGTTCTTCATGAATAAAAAGGTCTATAATATACTCCACTGCACATGTAAAAAATACAGATGCAATGGTATAATCAAAATAACACACTCCAGGCCACATAGTTAGCTCAGTTCATTTTCCCATGTACATTAACACAGCAGTCCGCAAACTTTTGGGCACCAGTTTTGTGAATTCTTCCTGGACTGTGGGGTGGAGGTGGTGTAACAATGTTCAGGCAGTAATGCAAGCACAATGATAGGGAGCAGCATATAAAGCTTCACTCAATGTTCAGGGGTTGAAGACTCTTGCATTAACAGATACAATACTGAGTCAACCAGAAACTTAAAAACAGGGAGTTCCCTGGCAATCATGTGGTTAGGACTCGGCACTTCCACTGCTGTGGGCACAGGTTCAACTCCTGGTCAAGGAACTAAGCTCCCACAAGCCACAAGACGCCACTGCCCTTCCCTACCTCAAGAGAGAGTGAGAAATTTAAAATGCAATGTTTTTAAAACTGCAGAACTTTTTTTTTTTTTTCAAGAAAACCTCAAATGGATACCCAGTATGTAAAACAAATCAATAGAGCAGTACTGAGGACTGACAGCATCACTAACTCACCAACCATAAAAGGAGTTCACAGTGAAAACTAAGCTGCCTACATTATCTGGTCCAATGCCTTATTTTCATAAACAAGGAAACAGGGGTACAGACACAACAGGATTACTTAAGGTTACAGTGCCAGTCAACGGCAGAGCTGGGACCAAGATCAGCTCCTACCGTGCTTCTGACAGCACCTGTCTTGCTGGTCTACTAAACAAGTCATGTCTCATGAACTCAGCCAAACCACTTAACAACTTCATCTATATTCAATGCTACTTCAGGGAACGCAACCTGATCCAACCTGTATCTTGGGCTTCCCTCATAGCTCAATGGGTAAAGAATTTGCCCACAATGCAGATGATCTGGGCTGGATTCCTGGGTTGGGAAGATCCCCTAGAGAAGGAAATGGCAATCCACTCCAGCACTCTTGCCTGGAGAATCCCATGGACAGAGAAGCCTGGGTGGCTACAGTCCATGGGGTCGAAAGAATTGGAATAACTTAGCAACAAAACCACCACCAACCTGTATCTTGCATACAAGACCCATTTCTGATCTTCTGAGGCAAAAATAAAACAAAAAGGAAATTACCTCATGCTCTTTTTCTTGTAGCAAAAGAACAATGTCTCCTGGTTCCACTCCTGGGGCCTGGTCTGCTTCCCCAGTAAATGTAATTCTCTGTCCATGTTTCATGCCTTTGTCTACGTGGACTTCAAGAATCTTGACTTCTTTAATCACTTTCTTCCCTTCACATTTTTTACAGCGGTCCTTTTCATTAATTACCTCTCCTGGAAAAAGAGGTCATTCAAACTTCCAGCAAGGGTACTATATATTGCACTCTTAAGACAGGTCCTGATAACTCCTTTATTCACTAAATAAATTTCCTGTACTTCTTTAAACTGCTACCTGAACTTTTCATGAACATTATTAGGAACAAAACTCACATCTTACTGTAGATTACTAAAGGACCCAGCTACTCTATTCCAGAGTATAAAATATCTTAAATAACATTATCTTACCTCCTGACACTACTTCCTAAAGTTAAAATAAAGCCTAAGGATCAAGCAAACAAAATGGGTGGTCAGACACTAGAACTTCTACAAATGCTTCATTTTTTGTCTTAGTTTCATTTAAATTTAACAATGGAGCGACAACCCAAATAAAAATTTAAACATCCTTTATGACTCCAACAGTTTTTTCTTCCATGTATTCTGAAATATTTGATCAGTGGTATAATAAAATAAAACTGATATCATATAATAGTATATCGTGAAAAAAATACCATCAATTTCTAATGGCTGATTATTGGCACACTTTAATGCTCAGGTGACATATAAACGACTTTAGGTCGTTTTTGCTTCTGCAAAGTATGTTCTGCAAAGCACCAGTTCCTTAAAATGGTAATGGCACATGGGAAAAGATTTCAGTCAACTCCAATTTCTTGAGTGGGAAATGTCAGCAACTTTAATAAGGCAAAATGCACTAAGACTCTTCAGGAGGGAAATACGATATGTGGCTTCTCAAAATTATCTTGTCACTTTCAGAAGCAATTTGGAAAAGGGTGTTCTAGAACTGTCCAATATAGCAGCCACTAGCCACCTGAGATTATATAAATTTAAATTAATTAAAAGCTCAGTTCCTCAGCCTCACCCAAGTGGCTAGTGGCTACTACAGTAGACATTATATATACAGAACCTTTCCATCACAGAAAAATTCTTTTGGATAGCACTGCTCTAGAACAGGGCTGGCAAACTAAGGCTCACAGGCCAAACTGGGCATGGTCTTTGTTTCTGTAAATAATGTTTATCCAGAAGACAGTCATGCCCACTTATTTACATATTATCTGTGGCTATAAAAGTGCTAAAAGGGTAGAAGAGTAGCAGTTTCAAAAACCATTAACCTACAAAAACCTAAAATATTTACTTCTGTAAAATGAGTTTCAACTGCAATGATCTATCCTCAAAAGCTAACTAAAGTTTACAGTAAAATCCTCTACTTATCAGAATGAGAACTAAACAATTTGCTGTCTCCCTTTTACCTTTTAAAATATAAAGGATAAGTAAACAACAACAAAAAAATGCAAAAGGACAAAAGACTTTGCCCATCTTTTTGGAAAAAGACTAATATTCCACTCAACATAATATAAATTTACTGTTTATCGGTGTTCACTGAGCCTATGCAAAAGGAAATATTTTTACATTTTTAAAAATAACTCTCTACCTTTTACAATACAATGAAAATAAACACATGTTGAAAAAGAAAAACTGTAAGCCTCTCCAATTTCTGCATTCCCAATCCATTCCAACAGAAAGGCAGAGAAACACTGGCATGCATACCTTCTCCATTACAGTCAGAACACACAGACTGCATCTGCTGAACCATCCCTGGGGCCAGCTGTCTGATCATGATGCGCACACCTCGACCCCGACAAGCACTACACTTCTGAACAGCTCCAGACTTCCCACCTTGGCTAAAGCAAGGAGAAGTATAAATTAGATTTTTCCCCCCTAGGTCATGAAAAATGGGAATTGTGCTTTTTACCTTCATCTTCAACCCCCAAAGACTGGTATTTTAACCAACTTTCAGAGGTATCAGAAACTGTTCTGGGTTGGGTAGTCAGTTTGAAATCATGAATAAATTTTATTTGATACAGACTCAACATGTGACTCAAAGAACAGATGAAATTTCATAACCAGAAAACACACTCACCCACTGCATGCACTACAGAGTACATTCTTGCTAAGTTGTAGTTTGGTTGTCTTGCCATTATACAGGTCTTCTAAAGATACTCTGTGGAGAAAGAATTAAGATTCAAATTTTGCGAAGTTGTCTTAAATACAAGAAAGGATTAGCTGATACAGCTAATTTCACTATAACCTTTTAAACAAAGAATTCAAGAACACCTTACATTAAGTCAATTGAGTAAGATTTTATTTTGTAACTCAAATTGTTTATGGCTATAAATACAGGTGGTGTTTAAAGCCAGAATGTAAAGGATCAGGCCAGTAATTGGCTGTGCTGCATTTTCTGATAAAGCTGATAACTACACAAATTCATAACATCACACCTTCTTCCAGCCTTAGACAAAACCTTCACCTAATTCAACCCTTTGAATGAAGCAAAATTATTATCCTCAATTTAGAGGACAAAAAGGAGGCACAGAGAGGTTAAGTAACTTGCCCAGCTCCGGAGTCCATGCTCCACTGTCAGCCTCTGTCCCCTTCAAGGACAATTCAGAAAGGCTACAAAGTTATATTACAATTTCTGAGAAACACTCAGATTGGGTATGTCTTAAAAAAAAATAAAAATTGGCTTTATTACACTGTAACAGAGAATAGGTTTCCAAATACAAAGGAACAAAAATATTTTTTTAAAAATTAAATAAAGGAACAAAAAAGTTAAAACTACCTTGCAAAGCACCTACATTATTTTGCAGCACTCAAAGCTGAAACTTTTATACATTCTAGACAGTGTAAGAATAAAGCACTTAAGGTCAAAACATTATCAACACTTCTAAACTACAGCATACCTAGACCTTAGACCAAAATACTTGGTTCCATCAGCCTTTTATCCTCCTCCTCCTAAGAACCTTTAATCAACCATTTACATGATAGGTAGGTCTTCTTTGCTTTATTTAATAAATCACAGTTAGTATGCAACACCACTAGGTAAGAGGTCAGCAAGAAAAATCCTCATTTCAATAAACATGGCAAAGAAAGAAAAATGGGGGTAATGGTCTAGTGAAGCTGGCATGCTCCACCAGTGGGGCTAAACTGACACATCCTCTAAAGATAATATAATTGTATTTATTTAGCAGCCTCAAAATACTCATACCTCCCCAGGAATCTCTACCAATGAGACAAAGCTGTATATAAAGATACAGCAGCACTATTCATCATAGGAAAAAAACTGGTAACATCCTATAGAAAAGGGAATGCTAAATAAATCATGAAATGTAATATTATAAAGACATCCAAAATTAAACACTGTAATGAAAATTTTAACAATTCATGCTTTAAGGTCCCCTTATCTTCTCAAATGTATAAACTAGATAATATGAAACATTTTAAATAAACACTTGAACTGCAGTGTCATGCATCTGCTAGTAAAACCATTATTGGTTCATGAAAGATTAACAGATACAAGATCTCACAGAATTTGCAAAGTCAAATACTACTTTCAAATTGGGTTCACAGTCTAAGATTAAGGTAAGATACCATTCATATGTTGGCAGGTTAATGTCAGGCAGCTCCATGAAAATCAATTTAGGAGAGTTCACACTGAGGATCAAGTAATAAGTGACTGTAACATGTCAACCAACCAGTCGGATGGTCACTCACTTTGTAAGTTTTTAAATTAAAACTAACTCAAGAGGTTTAAATACTTCAGAGAAAAGAATCTTCTTAATTGATATTTTTTAAAAACAAGAAGCCTCAGAAGCATATACCAAAACCATCTTCCCACTCTGTAAAAACACCAACCATCCTTTAAGATCTGTCACCAAATACCAACATCCAGGTTATTAAATTCAACTTAGTCAGCCAATGAGGACAGCATGGCAAATGGAAGATTTTTTTTTGACTGATTAAAAACAATATTTTTTGATACCTTTTCTCTCCTGCACTGAATACTTCTACTTGGAAAAAAAGTACTTAGTATTTTTAAAGAAAAAAGAATAGATATTCACTTGAGTGGATGCATCATGTCTTCTCCTCTTCTTCTGCCATTTCGACTTCTGCTCTGATTACCCATGAAGCTAAATAATCCTCCACCAAAAATGTGAGAGAAAATATCATCCATGCCACCACCTCCACCGCTACCTTCCCGAAGACCTTGTTCTCCATATCTGTCATATAGTTCGCGCTTCTCAGGATTTGATAGTACTTCATATGCAAAACTTATTTCTTTGAACTATGAACAAAAAGGAAAAAGGAAAACAGTTGGATTTTCAAATAAAGGACTAGGGAAAGGCTATAGGAATCTAGAATTCATTTAATTCTAAGAAAAGTTACAGGTGGGTCCTATTCACCAACTACGACTAGCCAGAATGTTAGTATCCCTATTATAAAGTACAAAATATTAACATAAAAATGTGGCTCTATGGGCATAAATGGACTTTCCTTACAACATTCCTCTTTTTTTCCAAGAAGGGCAATTTAAGTTTAAAACAAAAATCTCAGGGGGGAAAAAGTCTCAAATAACTTACTTTGTCACCAGCATTTGGATTCTTATCAGGATGGTATTCTTTGGCTAACTTTCTGTATGCCTTCAATAAGAGATTAAAAAAAAAAAAAGGGTTACATATAAAGACCAGTTTAAAGACTTATGAGTACTAACTTAACATCCAAATTTCTGAGAAGCAATACTTCCATTGGCACTGTTGGACATTTTCCATCTTAATACAGTTTACTCACTAATAACAAAGTAGACAGTAGTTACATTGGAAAATAGATTATACTGAAGACAGAGGCAAACAATAAAACAAAACCACAGAGAAAAACAAAACACTGAAACATTCTATATTTTCACTATTGTCAAACGTCTTTGATGGCCAGTAACCACACCAAGAAGACTCCAATAAACTCTAAAAATTAAGCTAAGGTAAGAATCCAGGCTCATGATGGCTCCTCTAATTGTAGTATCAGGAAGAAGTCCAGACAAGCTCCTATGTCATGTTTATTTTCACACGGTGAATTGACTGTGGTCTCAAATGGAGTGACTTCAGTCTTTGCGAAGCTTCATATATTTGGGTGAACTATAAACCACTTAAGCGTTCATTCACAGATAGATGAATTATGTAATACAAAGCAGCATTTCCGGTAAGGTAACAGGAAGTCCTTTTACTCTGAACTGCACCCGTCCCACTGCCTAAGAAGCATTCTCATTTTTCTAAGCTTACAAATCCGGATACTCTAAGCCCCGTGAAGATGCTGTGGGACTTAAATGTCTCAAATGCTTTGAAATCCTGCGATGAAAGAGTCGCAGCCCTGCAAAGAGCGATAATGAGGCCTTCTATTTATTTTTAGTCAGTGTACACTCAGGTGTTTGGCTGGGACCCATGGCTTCTTCCTGAAGCGGGTAGAGAACATCTGGGTTACCTGCCTACAGAACAAAGCACCCGAACACAGACCCACGCCACCTCCGGGTCGACAGGCGAGGGAGGAAGCCGGGAGAAGCTCCGCAGCCGCGGCTCCCAGGCAACATCCCTAAGCTTCCCCAGGCAGCCAGCGGGGGCGGCCTCGACCCCTCCACCAGGCCCCAAATCAGTCCCGACGCGGCTCGGGCGCCGACATCCGCGGCGTGGTCAACTCCTCTCCTGGGGCTGGGATGCGCTGGGCGCCTTGGTCCAACCTGTTTTTCCAGGGTGGTGACCTCCGCGCGAGGAAGGCCGGGCAGGCAGCTGCCTCCCGGGAGCGCCCGGCCTCCGGCGCTCACCGGGGGAGGGAGGAAGGAAGCGTTTTCGTAGTGTTTGCGCAGAGGTGGGTTTTATTTGCTGCATCTGCGGACGGGCGGGGACGGCGGCCCAAGGTCAGCCGAGGCCGAAGTGCACGGCCTGACGCGGGCCGGTCTCGCCGCCAGCCCCCAGCCTGGGCCGGCCGCCGCCGGCTCGCGGGCTGCACCGCAGCGCGGCCTGGCCGTCCCAGTCGCGCAGGCCCGTGCCCCTCACACCTTGCCCAGCCGGCCCGCGCCCCAATACCTTCTTCAGCTCGTTCTCGCTGGCGCCAGGCGGGACGCCCAGGATGTCGTACAGTTTCGTGTCGGCCACGTTCGCCATGGCGGCCGGCCGGGCAGCGCTCAGGAAAGAAGGCGGAGAAGCAGGAGGAGCGGAGCCGGGCCCTAAGCGGCGGCAGAGGCGGCAGCAGCGCAGGCGGGGACTGCGAGGGGGAAGCGGAGGTGGGGCTGAACTTTGACCCGACGCACGGCGCTCCGTGACGTCGCTGCGCAGAGCCCGCCGCGAGCGCAGGGGACCGTTGGGGTCGTGGGTGGTGAGGGAGCATGCTGGGTACTACTAATTTGAGGCTGTGGGCCGCCAGATGAGGTTCAGCGTAGAAACCCGGAGAACTAACTCTGCATGGGGCTCTCAGGGACATTAGCTCTCTCCAGAGGCATTTATTGGGGGTACTGAAAGGATGAAGAAGCACGCCCGCCCCTTCGGTCCACTTCCAGTCCAGCCGTAGAAAAAGTCTGTTCCGGGCTCAAAGAGGCCGTCCTCAGAGTCAAAGATGCCGCCCGCGGACCCTCTGGGAATGGTTTCCCTCCGGGTTTAAGATGAAAAACATCTTGTAGGACTTGAATGGTGTTTTATATTAGGGCACTTTCAAGCATTCACCAGAAGTAGTGTATTACACTGTTCAACGGTTAGCTGCATTTTGCCGATTTTGTTTAACGTATTCCCCCATACTCCCTACTTACAGTGTCTGAAGGGAAACCATTCGTTTATAAATACTCTGTGTGTATACATATAATTTTTTAAGGCATTATTACATCCCCACATGTAATGAAATGAATTCATCTAATTCCTAATCTGCGTTTGAGCCTAGTGGCTCAGTCATGTCGGACTCTGAGACCCTAGGGACTGGAGCCTGCCAGGCTCCTCTGTCCATGGGATTCTTCAGGCAAGAATACTGGAATGGGCAGCCATTCTCTTTTCCCTGGGATCTTCCCTACCCAGGGATGGAACCTGGGTTTCCTGCATTGCAGACAAAATTTTTAGGGACTGTTGTTTAGATTTTCACCATTGTCCCATGTCCTTTCACAATTGGTTCATGGCATCTAGATCCACAAGTTCCACCCCTTACATCTGGATCAAGTGCCTAAGTTCTTACTTCATATATAATAACTTTAAAATGAGTCAACATCAGAGATCTAGATGGTATCAGCAGCCTAGTTGGGCACACAGTCATCTGGTGATTGTTGCCCATGATTTAGGTTCAGAAAATGTTTGCCATTCACCTAGCCACGGACTTATCTCGTGGCTCAGCTGGTAAAGAATCCGCCCGCAATGGGGGAGACCAGCCTTCGATATCTGTGTTGGGAAGATCCCCTGGAGAAGGGAAAGGCTACCCACCCCAGTATTCTGGCCTGGAGAATTCCATGTCCATGGGGTCGCAAAGAGTCGGAAAAGACTGAGCGACTTTCACTGTTTACCACGTGCTAAGACGTATGGTCTCCTGTTCTAGTGGAGGGGAGTGTTACAGAAGAATAAGTCATAATGCTTAGCTTTTAAACTCACTAATGATTTATGGAAATAGAAAAAATAACATCTTTTGATGCTTTGGAAGCTGAACTAGTATGGTAATAAAGACTCCAGCATAGGCATCTCACTTAGGATAACCACTTCTCCTTGGCATTCCTCCAGACCTAGTTTGAAGGGCTTTGAGTGCCATGCCAAGGGGTTGAAATTTATCCTGAAAGCCCTGGGGAGTAATTGAAGCCATGATTCTCTTTTCACCTAACTCTTCCATTTTTCTCAAATCCTGACCAAAATGCTGCTCTTTCAGTGAAGTCTTTCTTGACTCCACAACCAGTTGAACATTGCTATCTTATTTGAATTCCCACTAACCTTGGCTTGTGGGACTTGAATGGTGTTTTGCTGTGAGTCTGAGCTCCATTAGTAGGCTCCTTAGGGGAAATTCACTCTTCTGTTTTTGAATGCAGATGGTCTAGTTTTGAATGCAGTAAAGGCCCCGATAATTTCAATTCCTCCACTTCCTTTTCACATTTTGAGTGGTTCATAAGAGGCAATATAAAGTTGTGGTGGAGGTAAAACACCTAGGCTGGTAACCTGGCTCTGCCATTTATTAACAACATGACCTTGAGCAAGTAACTTTTCTGAGGCTATTGCTTCACATGTAAAATGGGGTTTAATAGTTTTTATATCATTGGCTTGTTCTGATGATTAAAACAGTTGATATACAGTACTGAAAACAGAAGCTAAAACCAAGTAAGTATTAGCAACTTTTTTTGCCAATTTGCCTATAAACTGTCTCCACATCTCTATTCATTGTCTTTATGTAAATTCTTGGCTTTCCAAGTGGAGTTTCCCAACTTCCTTCATTGCCTATGTGGAATAGTCCTCAGTCCTTGGTGATCTTGGCTATCCAGTTCTCCCTGCTAGCTGATTACCAGATTCTCTCCTTTCTCCATCCATTCCTGTTCCACATGAGATTATGAACTAAAAACTTTGTCTGAATTGCAACTTTTGTATAGTTTATTATTTTTTTTCCATCTTATTTTCTTTCTGTCCATAAAGAGTCAAACTTCTATTTTTTCCAGTTTTACTATATATATATATATATATATATATATATATATATATATATATATATTTTTTTTTTTGCAAGGGTTTTTCCTTGGTTAGATTTCAGCTTCTGTTTTCTAGTGAAGAATAGCTGAGTAAGTCCCACCATCACCACCACTCCCACCAAGGTCAGATTTACTTTACTAACCTGACTTAAATCAGTTGTCACAGTTCATATTTTTATTTTCATTTATTTACAATAATTCCTCCATTTCTGAGCATTAATTTTAGTCAGCATTGTTATTTGCTAATGTTATAGGTCAACAAGTTATTTCAGAACAGTTCTGTGTGCTTCAGCTGACACATGCTCTCCTCCCTGTCATCACATACTGAGTCAAACCTGTGTCAGGGTGAGCACTGTAACATTTTCAGCCACTGACTTTGTATTTTTAAGGTAGCTCATTTATTTTAGCTCCATATTTAGCTAATGCCGCAAAGGAAACAAGATCTTTATCTCATTTCATGTTTCAGGCATCATAAAATGCTGAGTCACAGTGCATCTGAGGGCTGCTGTCACTAGGCAAGTGATTTAAAGTTTGAAGTTGGAGTGATTTTAGATTTCTGCCAGGTTTATATTGTTGTTCAGTTTATTTTTCTTTTTAAATTTACTGCACTGGTGTAATTTTGTGGGGTTGGGTGTGGGGTGGAGGTGGATAAGGACTAGGGAGAGACTGTATGAACCAGAAAGGCCATTCATATTGTTCACAACTAACTGAATACAATACCATGAGATCCATGATTTTAGATGCCTTAAATATATGGTTCAGGCATTTCAGACAGTAGTTTTGCTTTCTGCCTTTTATCTAATGGGCTTCCGTGGTGGCTCAGAGGTTAAAGTGTCTGCCTGCAATGCGGGAGACCTGGGTTTGATCCCTGGGTTGGGAAGATCCCCTGGAGAAGGGAATGTCAACCCACTCCAGTATTCTTGCCTGGAGAATCCCATGGACAGAGGAGCCTGGTGGGCTACAGTCCACGGGGTCGCAAAAAGTCGGACACGACTGAGCGACTTCACTTTCACTTTTATCTAACTAATTTGTGTGTGTGTGTGTGTGTGTGTGTGTGTGCACTTGAAAAGAATGTTTATTCTGCTATTGTGTGGAATGTTCTGTAAATCTAACTAGTTTTGAATATACAGAGCAGATGACGCCAGATGAAATATTTGTCAGGGTATACAGAAGACATACCCTTATCATGAGGATATTAGTACAATTAGAATTGATGATTGTTGGTACTCTGAGAAAAAAAACTGTGGAGTTTGGATCGCTGGATAATCTGCATTCCTTGTAGTTCCTAAACTAGATTGTTTAGTAAAGTTTAACCACTTGTTTAGGGACAAATAATGGGGAAAATATGCCTATATATTTATTCATTCAACAACAGTGTGGTTATATAGGGTATATATGTATATGTGTGTATATATATTATTCATATTTACACAACACAATGTATATATAATGTATATATTGTACATACAAAATAGGGTGTTTCTGTGAACTGCCTTATAGTCTCATTTTTGTACATGTTCATCGTTGCTTCCATAGAATACATTTCTAGGATGCGGTTAATATTTTCATTTTGTCATTTTGTATGTGAAGAGCACATGCTGTTGTTCTGGCATATAATCTTAAAATATTCTAAAGTTGTGGGTTTGCTTAATGAAATTTCCATACCTTAAGTGTTAGAACAATTGTTAATAAACAATTGACAATATAGATTAGGAAAATCATCCAAAATCCATACTGACTTTTAAGAATCAAATATATCTATATATAAATATATGTGTGTGTGTGTACACATATACATACATTTATATACATAAACATACATATGTGGTATACATATACATATGGTGTACATCATTGTATAGCTCCACAGCTAACCTGTTAAACTCTGTCATGTCAAAACTTTCATGTCAATTAGCACATTTAATTTTTCAGTTTGCTTATATCATTGCAGTGGTATAGTAAGCAGAAAAACTGGAAAGTTTAACCACTTGTTTAGGGACAAATAATGGGGAAAATATGCCTATATATTTATTCACTCATTCAACAAATATGTATTATGGACCCATTATGTGTTGGGCATTCTTTAGGGCTAGGGATACAATCATAAAACAAAATCCTTTCCTTTACAGAACTTACATTCTAGTGGTGAAGACAGAAGGTAAACAAACAAGTACATGGTATAACAGATGAAAAAGAAGAAAGATAAGGAAGGAGGCCAGTATGGCTGAGTTGACAGCAAGTTAAGGAGATAGTACAAGGAGCTAAAGTCAGAGATGTTGTGAAAGACCCAGTTAGGTCCATTGTAAAGACTTTGGCTTTTACTCTGAGTGCGATGGGAAGCCTTTAACGAGATTGACCAGAAGAGAAACATAAACTAAGTGGCATTTTAAATGGGTCTGTGGGACCTCCCTGGCGGTCTATGGGTTAAGACTATGAGCTCTCAATGCAGGGGGCCTGGCTTCTGGGCAA